CTCTGAAATGCAGCCCCTAAGCCATGGGGAACAAAATCCCAGGGGGAGAGCGTTGCATTATGCAAGAGGTTCAGACAAAGCCCAAGAGGAATGCAGAGATCACGCTGCAGTCTGTACAACCAAACAACAACCTTCAACCATTCACAGGGCCAAGGTGCTTGTGCTACAGGCTCAGGGTGCAGTGTCTGCTTATCTGGGGGATGTGGATGCACTGCACGTTCTGGCAAACGCTGTGTAGAGGCACAAGTTGGGGTCACAGCACCCTTGTGTCTGTCAGGGGCAGCTCTTCCTGACTCTGTCCCTAAGAGCACGTGGCTGCTCACTGTGCCAGGCAGGGCACAGTCCCTCTCACCTCTAGTCGAAGGGTCTTCTCAATGGTGCCAATCTGCTGGGCCTTGAAATTCACTGTCACTTCAAACTCTGAGCGGGGATCAATGGTGCCGTTATCTTGTGACAGTGAGAAGTCCTCAGCAAGGTCATCCAGCCCACTGAGCTGCCAGGCCATGGGCAGTAGGGTGTTGTTTTTCAGGACCAAGGTCCTGCTGTCAGTCCTGCAGAGACAGGAGGCACTTGGCATCAGCTGCTGGCTGGTCACACCAGCCTCGCCACTGAATGCAACCTGGAGCAGCTCCATCCGAGCCCTGGAAAGCAGAGTCAAATGTTTTGTCTTTGTCACAAGTCTTGGAGTGCTTGTGGGATGACTGACCTGTGCAGAAGCAGCTTGTCAAAAGACAGCTCCAGGGGGCTGACCTCCAGCTTCACGTGCACCCCGTGGCAGCACACGCTGAAGACCACTGGCTCTGGGTTCTTGTCAATGCAGCAGATGAGTTTGTCTTCCAGGAAGCCAGGGGAAGTGGGGTATGCCCAAATGGTCAGCTCCTGGACCCAGCCCCATGGAAAGAAATAGAAAGAGCTCTGTGTGTGAGCAGGAGCAGCAGCTCCTGGGCACTTCTACGGTGCCTGCTCTACCTGCCCTTCTCCTACCTGCTTCTCCTTTGGTTTCAGGGTCATGCTGGGAGGGTCCAGAAGGAATGTCTCGGTGCCTGCTCTACCTGCCCTTCTCCTACCTGCTTCTCCTTTGGTTTCAGGGTCATGCTGGGAGGGTCCAGAAGGAATGTCTCTGCTTTCTCATCATCCTCAAAGAAGAACTGGACCTCTATGTCCATGGGGGAGTTATTGAGGATGGTTATATTCTCCGAGTTGGCAGGACAGTTCTGGGCCTTGTACCTGTCCACAAAAGGGGAAAAGGCTGCAGAGGAGACTGTTGCCTTTGCCACGCATCAAGGAAAGCACCGTGTGCACCCGAGGAAGCGGTGCTGGAAGACCCTGTTCTAACAAACATGTGAGGGAAGTGGATCCCAGCCAGGGGCATGGGCATGTGCTCATCCTTGCCTGACTTTGATGCCTTCCCCTGTACTTGGTGCCTCCACCCCAGAAGCCTGATGATGCTCAGGCCACTTCAAGAGTTTTTGATACAACATAAATATGGATGCTAGCTTTGGAGCAGGCTGCAGAGAGCTGCAGAAACTGCAGGCCCCATGGACTATCAGTCCTGCCTGAGAAGCTAGCCTGAGAAATTCATAGGAGGATTTCAAAACAATCCTCAGAGACAGAAAACAACTGCCAGGTGCTGCTTGTCTGTCCTCTTGTTTTCCTTGCAGGAGAAAGTCAGGGGTGTAGTGAGCCCCACTGACCAATGATGGTGATGTAGCACTTTGCTAACCAATTAGAGTTTCCTTTCTGTACTTTCCACGTATCTGTCTATAAGACAAGCCTAGAGCAATAAACTAGAGGAATGTCCTGTTGTGACTCCCTTGAGAGTCCGTGTCGTTCTTTCCCGCCGTTCCCAATTAGAACGACACATAAATTCAAAGGTGCCTAGAAAATACCAGTA